CACCCCCCACCTCAACTGAATATTGTGCTAGTAGCATTGCCTTAATGACCTTACAATTGTAAAATGAACCGTTATATTCATTACACCAAGTTCAAGTTGAACCTCATATTATGTCCGCTCTTCGTATACTTCAGCTTGCCTAAAATATCGAATAAAAAATGCATAATTAAGTTTGCAATGGAACAGGAATATTTTTTCGCAGACAATCAACAACACTCAACTTTTTTTCCCTAGTATCCAAACAGTCGATAAATTTTGATAACATGTTGATCGGGGATCATACTATGATTATTGGCAGAAAAAGTCTGAAATTCGTGTGTTGGTAATCTCGCCATCTGTAATAATTTCATTTCTATCCACCATACGTGAATATCGATTTTTTAACGATTATTCATCGATTTAACACCCGGTGTTATATGGAATTTTTAAATATGTACATAATTTGACAGCTCTTTCACTACTCAATCAGGGTGTAGGAAGCCTGAGACAATTCCAGTTTACAAATTCTTTTGTGCGTATTCGCTATGATTGTAGAAAAAGTAAATAAAATGGACCTATGCTACTGCTAATTATAAGTAGCGAATAAATTATTGGTAAAATTGATAAAACACCTAGGAAGCAAATTGAGAAATTGTAAACAAATTCTGCACAAAGCGCCAAAATAAAATACAACAATTACTTAATTAAGATGATATAGTTTAAATTTAAGGTGAACAATTAAAAGGATAAGGCGATCAAGAGAGGACGAAGAAGACGGATGATTAAACCAGGATTTTGATTGCCGTGCAGCCAATATCGACTTAATTCTATCACACAGTTTGTGTTTGCCAAATTATGCAAGAGGACTTACAAATTTTCCCTTGCCCTTGTTTCTTATAGGAGCATAGCCCGATAGACAGGAAGGATGGTATCCATGAAGACATTTTGAGCACCTCAGCTCCACACCGGGCATATTACAGACTTCACAGGGGATACAGTTGCTGCATACAAAATTCTCCTTATCCCCTTTCGTTATACTCTGGAATCGATCACAAAAGGCATGATAGGGCTCCGCACAGACTCTACAGTATTGCAGCTAGATAAAGGAAATTAAGGGGATTAGGGTATACTTAAATTTGAAATTCGATAAGAGCAAAACATACATCAACACCGGCGGATCCACAAAGATAACAGATTTCTTTCGGTGGGGCCGCTGCAAAAGTAGTAATAACAGGGAAGCCACCCCGATGGGCAATGTGTGCGTCGATAACTTCTCCTTCCACAGGAACAACAGATTTTAAAGCAGTACCATCCTCTGGAGAGTCCCGGGGTTCAAAATACATGCCCAAATCACCACCTCTAAGTGACCTTGCAGGGGCATCGGCATAAACATCCAGACATCTTGTGGGATAATTGACGGCAGGATGACTTGGAAGAGAAGCAGTAGAATCAATCGAATTCTCTTCATCACTTTCTGGAGCATCCACGATAGGAATAGGGGCGGTGGAGGTAGACTCAGCTTTGGTCTTGGAGGAAATTAGCTCAGATCTCATGAGAGGAGAAGCGATATTCATGATCTGATCCTCTAAGCCTGGGACGGTATCGAAGAGTGAGGGCTGTTTTCCGAGGCCGGGTGAAGTAGTAACAACTCGTTTTGACAAATTCGATTTCTGATAGGAACGAGGAGAGAATTTGGAGGGTATTTTGACCTAGGAGGAAAAGTAGGTCGTGAACTTTAACCCGAGATAAAACAACAACAAAAAAAGAGGAGATAAAACTAACCCTTGGTCCGTCTACTTTTGATGCCATTAGATGTCTTCTGCGCTGACATATAGTCGCACTAAAAGAGAATATCAATAATTTGACTGATAATGAAGGAGCAAAACACCCTTTTGAGAATATATCATGATTAACAGCAAAAGTAAAAATCCAAACAATGTCTTATTTGAGATGAACAAACATTTAATGACCTTTAGTTTTACCAATGTGCAAAAAAACACTAAAGCAATATGCCTCTTATTCAATTTTTGTGCATAAACTGACATTAGAACAATTGTTAAGTTCCATTAAGGAGATGTATTTTGAAAGATTCTTAAGCTAATCACATTGAAGAAGACTCAATCAATGAGAAAGGTCAGTCAAAACAAAATTACACCTCTAACGCAGCTGATACTCTGCAACATCAGGTTTTTGAAATGAAAAATAACATTCGTAAATTAATTTGGATAACCTTACTAATTAACACGGTGGGTCATTCCAGTCACCGACTGCTGAAATTAACGTGACCGATACGCCACTATTGCGCCAAGAACGGGTAATATCCATTGAGGGAATTCGTTACACAACAAAGCATTTTACGAATAAAAGCGCTCTATAATTTAACTGGCTCTTACAATAACCATTGACGAACATCGAATTTGTGACCTGTCAGGGCACATACGTATAATCCCCAAATAAAGACAAATAGTGGAGCATAGGTAATCAACTTACATGCAAGGACGGTTCTTGACACTTGAACCAACACCCCCATAGTGGGCTTGCTTTCTAAATGGGATAAAACAGTTACCACATTAATGGGAAGGTCAAAATAAAATATCATAAAAATGGGATATAATGTAGTCTTACCGGCAGTTGACACAACGACCACAGGATGTAGCTAGTCCACGACAAGCAGCGCAGTTACCACAATCTGCCTTCAGACGATTACCTCCATCTACTGAACCTGTATCGGAGATATAAGCTTCCGCTGTGGCTGCCGACGCTGCCATAAAGGGACTTGTTCCATCCTGTCTCTGTGCTCCAACGGCAGCCAATTTGGCAGCATGCTTCATGATGGACATTGGACTGGTGAGCTGGTTACTTGGGGCTAACAAAATTATGGGATAAGATTCGAATTTCAATAAAGAAGTTTGATCTATTCCGGCATTCTTCAATCAAAATCATGTCAATGAAAGCAAACCCCCTCTCCCTGCCCAAACCTAGATCTGAAAATGCGAATGTTGCACTCAAGCTTAGCTTTAAGGGGACTTATAAATGAGCAAGAACAAACTTACGAGGCTTTCGATTAACCAACTTGACACGGGGGCCCGATCTCCCAGCAACGGACTGCGGCTGTTGTGCGGATTGTCGACGATTCTGTTTTCGGTTTTGGCCACTCTCTAAAGATAAATCACTTTTCACGTCATCACCGTCGGCATAGGAAACTCCACCGCTCTCCCATTTGCCCGTCGAATCCAGAGTGACAAAATCGCCTTGAAGATACTTTGCCTGAAAAACGAGAATGTCGTATTAGTAAAAAATATCAAAAACGGAGTATGTGAAGGAGGAGAGTCAGAGCGCACATTTGCCTTTGGTTTCCTCTTGCCCTCAACAATAGCTGGCTTCTCTGGAGATTCAACTAACTTCTGTCTCTTGGAAGGTCGGGAGTGGTTTTCCTCATCTTCCTCTTCGACAGTTGAAATTGTAGCCGTGGGGGAAGCGAGGGAACGAAGTGTTCCGATGCTCTCACTGCCATCTCTAGGTCTACGACGCTTTGTCGTAGTGCTAGCAGTAGCTGCGGACTCCTTTTCTTTCAAAGCTTCCACATACCTTGCTGTAAGACGTCGACTTCTGCGGTCTCGAAGACTGGAAGACGCACTTGGTGACGCAGATTCCTTCAACTTTTCTTCCACATTTTCTTTCTCCTCATGTTGGTCTTCGGGTTCAGATTCGGAAACTGCGTGGATTGATGAAGGAGTGGAAGAATCGTGGCTAATAAAGGAGCTCTCTACTTCTTTAAACGTCTCTGGAAAGGTCAGTTCGGCCACCAGGGGAATTGTCCCAGTGCTTTCCACAGCCTTCTCCCTATCGACTAAGTTAGTTACGACAGAGAGGCGTTTACGATGCTTGTGCTTTTTCTAAAGAACAAAAAGGGGAATCCGTTCAAAATCACCTAAATTCTTCACAACTCAGGTTTCCGATCTTTCAAATCACAAGCTTTAATTCACTGATGAATGTATTGAAACTATTTGCAAAACAAGTGACACATGACAATGAATGTAACCTACTCATAATGAAAAATGAATTCCAGAGCAATCATTCAAATTTCACTGCAAAAAGGAATCTTCAACAACAAACAATCTTTACAAATTCTTAAAGAAGCCAACATTACAATTCAAAATCCCGAAAAATCTCCAATAAGCATGTCTCCGCATTCAACTATCTACTCACTCCCTCATAATAATGTAGCGTATGCCTCTATGCCGGAGCACTTAAGGATTCTTTGCGAAGCAAAAAGAACACTTGGGCTAAATGTCCAATTAGTTCAGGCTCAGAGCAAAATTAAACAAAAAACGAAATGAACAGTGGTAGCCTTTAAGCAAAGAACCCCAATTAAATGCCCTCAAAAATATTAATTATCTTGGGTCTTCAACGAATTTAAATGTTCAAAGATAACAATTATAGTAGCAAATCAATAAAAGCTCACCAAAACTAAAGACATAGTAGGATCAAGATCGCATAGAGTAACATTATTTTCAGAACTAGAAGGGTTGTAGAATACAAGTCGGGCACGATGTTTGAGCCAAGAGGGCCAACCGAGACTAGGTTCAAGAGGATGAAGCAAACGAAGACATCTTCGAGCATGACAAGGAAGACACACAGCCCAGAGGGGTACTTGGTCCATTGGATGATGAACGTCTTTGCAGGGCAAGGCCACAAGAATAGCCAATAAGGCAAGATCCGAAAGATCGTGTTCTTTACCTCTAACTGAAAGCAGAGTGAGTGCTGCCTTGTAGGCTAAAGTACAGTCCTCACAGACCACTGTCTTATTATTGAGTCGGAGAATATTTTCACCTGCCATTTGACATACAACACAGGGGAGATTTTCTTGAATCAATCTACACAAGCAAAAAAAGACACAGTAAGTTTAACCAAACTAAAAAAGGGTAAATATTCCATAATAGGATAATAAGGCTTTCCTAGATTCAATTTCCATATCCTCCTTAGATATGTTCTCAGGTAATGGTCGACAGCAGCCGAAAAATAACGGTGATCCAAGAGGAATCAATTCCTTATTCGATTGGAAATCAAACAATTTCAACTTTTCATACAGGAGTTTAATGGACTCTGCGGTGAAGCACAAGTCGCACCTTAAGTCGGGAGACGAGCATTCGCATAAATCCAATTCGCCTTTAGCTCGGACACTGTACCACTTACAGAGGGAATCGATTCCTTCTGACGATTCATTGTCGGCAATTCGGATGACTGTCGAGCGACATTTCAAAATACATGGTCCACAGACCATGATTATCGCGGAATTAGCTGCATTAAAAGGACCCAAAGTGACCCCATACAGTTCTGGACACAATGTTGAACAGAGCTTGCAAGAGGAATCACCTATAACACAGCAAAATAATCAGTAGGGAGTGCGAAAATCCAAGCAAGTATAAAATAAACAAGAACCTATGATCAAGGATTCAGTGCTAATTAGTCAAGTACTAAGTAAATTCGATCTATTATTCGAGTAATTCTACTCTGCAACTGCATATAGATTAAAGATTGTATTTTTACATATCCGTAGGTAATAAATTTCAAAAATACTCACCATTAATAGAACTTGAAGACACGGCTCGACACCACAAGCGGTCAAAAAAGGGAGCAAACTCACATGTACTGCGAGTTTCAATGGGCACTTGGGACTTCATCCTGTGAGTAAAGTACTCAACGCATCTCTTATTGCGAGCCCAAATAAGGTTCTCCTTTTGAGAGAGTCGAGTGGGATAGAAGTAACTAAAAAAACCAGGGTGTCTGGCTTTGCGCTTTAAATGACTACAACGTTAAAATTGGACGACGAATTAATATGCATTAACTTGAAGAAAACCCGTAAAATGAGACTAACCTGTACGGTCGGAAACCTTGATTTACACTATGAAATATTCGACAAGCATTACACCAAGATGTAGGGATAGACTTTGAGCTCTCTGACATACTTTCAGCAGTAATACACGTGGGCTTTTTCACGCAAAAAGCATATTCAAGGCGATCGAGATTAACACAAAATTCGTTCAGAAATCCTCTACAGTAGTTGCAAGTCACATTATCGGTGTCAATTTCCGACCTGCAATATCGACAAAATCGAGGAAAAGCTAAAGACACAAAAATAAAACTGGTTAGTGCAAAACATCAAAGCAAAAAATAATTAAAATTTCAATAACGAACATACAAGAAGGTTCCTCCAATTTAGCGTATTTCATTTCACTAGTCAAAATAACTCATTAGTTAATAAAATGGACGAAGAAAATTGGAATGAAGTTAAAACAACTAACGGTTTTGAGGAATGAATTTCCACAGATTCATTGACAGCCTCAACGGTAGATGATTCATTATCAAATACTTCGACGTAGCAACCACAAACAGCCGAAAAGTGCTTTGAAGAGTAATCATTACGCAAATTAGCTTGTATGAAGTGGCTATTCTGTCCAATGTTTCGAAGTAAAATTTCTAGGCTATATTCTGAGCTTATTTCGTTGCGTAGATTCTCGTCAATGTCTGGGAGCACACCGTCTTTCTTTAAAGTTTTAGCGAAAGTCTACAAAATAACATGTTCTAAGGTGACTTACTTTGAGTACATAGAGTGCTCGCCTATCTTTTGATGACATACTTTTGGGAGTTGTTGACCGGGATGGATTCACGGAAACGCGATTTCTTTTTTCTGATTTTACACTGCATTCAATTTTATCAGTGGGTTCTTTTGATGACATCAACTGTTAAACTTTCCAAAGAAACAAAATAGTGTAAAATAAAGGCTATTTAAGACAATTTTACTTAAACTAAACAAAGCGCGGACTGTAAACAATTAAAACAAACACAATTTCCTTGTTTAATCAATATGAAACGGCTATGTTGATCTTTAGACTAACTGCAGTACAGTAATTCATGTAAAATATTTTTTAGTTTGAATCCTTCAAATTATTTGAAAATAAATCGAGTATTTTCATGCTTTTTTATTTGGTTTAGAAAATAATATGAATTTAAGTTAATCTTTATTTTATGTTCTAACTTTGTATCCCTTTAAAGTTTAAACATTTTTTAAGATATAAATTCTATTTCTTATGTGGCATTTTATTCACCTTAAATTATTAATTTATCATATCCTGAATCATTTCATTTCTTCTGATAATGGCATTGAGGAGTTATTTTGTACGTTCTATAGTTACACAAATATATATTTTAAAATATTTATTCACCTAATATGCTCGTATTCATGTTAACAGTTGGCCATGGTGGAAATTTATTTTAAAGGTAAATAAACCCTTTCGTATTTTTTCAATGTTGGTATTATGCTAAGTTGTGCTATATTATCCTCAACCACGTTGAAGTATCTAGTACAATCAATTATGTCGTTGGATTTTTGGAATGTACAGTGAATGCCTCTATTCTGTAAAAGTATTATGCACAATTGAAAACATTTCATCGCGCACAATATCTATGTTTCCAGAAATGATCGGCTGCCTGGCAAAAATATGCATGTATTCACTAAAATCAGCATTACTACTACATTTTAGCTTGGAAGGCTTGTTATATTGCAGAAAAATCAGCCTTTGAATAATATTGGTCTGCGCTAGTAAGTGCATTGATGAAATTGATCCTTACTAAAATGTTTTCTTATTCACTATAATTATAAAAGATTTCCTTGTTTCCTTGTGTAAGAAAGCCTTTCCGCGTAATAAATGATTGTTTTAAGATTAAATAAAACAACAAATTAGTTAACATTTGTAGTCCCTACCTGAGTGACAGACTAATCTGTATTAAGCTTATTCTTCTGTTTGATAAACTGGCAAATTTCTAAGAAATTCTATTTCAGTGTAACATTATTTAACACAGATCCTCATAAATAACTTTCAAGCTCTGAATGTACATGCATTTTTGTGGTAGATGAAAAATTGAAACCTTTACGTCATATGAAACTTCGGAAATTGTGGATTTTAACATAATATGTAGCTGAGTCAAGATTATTCGCCTCTTAGATCAATTGCCGAATTTTTGACCTTTGCTGATTTTCTCGTATTTTAACAAATGCATTAAATTTATTTGCAAACTTTAATATAGTGATTTAGTCTATTAAGCCAGTACTAGGCTAAAATATTAAGGTAAGAGGATAATACTACATTATATATTTTAATAACCTTGTTGTTTTCATGTAAAACACAAGATAAGCACCTTCAAGAGAGTTGGGTAGGAGTGTCAGCCTGTTCAAATAAATAATAAAGGAAGGGGTCAGGAGGCGGGGGTAATAAGTATTGTATATAAAAGAAGATAGAAACGAAGAATGACGTCCAGACTTTACTGTTTTAGAGCGAGGAAAGACAAAGGAGGAAAGATAACTCTCAAGGTTTTTATATTTTCATGAACCCCTTGTCCTTTCCATAGTGGGAGAAGAAGTAGAAGTAAATGAGAAGATCGATAATAATTTGCTTATTTTTATGGCGAAAAATTGATATCGATCTCTTCTCTTTCATCGTCAGCATCTCCATCCGTACTCTGAAGTCGTTCGTCATCGCTGAAGCCGGCAAAGCTGGAGGACATTGTAGATCGCGGGGAAGAAGGTATTGACATCATGTTTGTTGACAGCGGTGGTGGGACTCTAAGAGGAGACTTGTATCGTTCATCCGCGCGATTCTTTTTACTGGAATCTATTCTGCTCACTCGTTTCAACATGGTTGCCTGAAGTAGATAGAAGGCAGCACAATACACACAATAGCTTTGCCTGCATATAGAACAGTGTGTTCATTACCTTTAGAGCAGAACGAAGAACGGTTAATTGACCCGGTGGTTGAACAAAGGGTTCACCGTCAACTTGAATTGGCAACTCAGATTTTAATATAATTTTTAACTAAACGGTGAAAAAGTCAGGTAAGAATTATGGATTAATGTTCAAGATATAATGTCGCGTTGACAGCATTAAAACCTTGTATTTCTCTGTGCTATGCCCTCAAAGATTATTGCCGGATATCATATGATGAGTTGTGAAATAAATCAAGTAGATTAGAGAGGTGAAATAAGAAATACACATTTTGGCTAGTAGCCTTGAGGTACGAATTGAAGCGCGCCCCTATAAGGCGAGCAAACCAGTAGACAGGCCGAATTAGGAGTTCAGTTTAACCATTAGAGAAGATCAGAAAACATAATCATCATCGGTTGTTATCACCCAACGGTGAAGTTTGGCGAGAAAAATGTGTGCAACTCCATGTGTAACTCCGTGCTTATTGGTTCCTATTTCAATCCTTTATGCTCTTTTAAAGTTACTTGCATTTTCTATATGATGTGAACGCAGAAAGATCAATTTAGGCCATGATTCCTACAAATATCCCGCCTCAAACTGCATTGAGGTGTGGTGTCTAGGCTTCTAGGGTCTAGTTACGCGATAAACTCCATTTTGAATACCGCGATGGTATACTTACAGTGGCTTCAACTAGGTTAATTTATAACTTACAAATGTGTGATGTGGGCAGATCGTGTGCTTCATGGGTAGTTCTAGATCGACCATTCTAACGATTTTATTCAAAAAAAATAACGACTTTTATCATAATTAACATTAGGGTAATTAAATAATCTAGGCAAAACTATACTCTACCACAGGTATTGAAAACGTTACAGGTATGCGGATAGGTAAGAACCAACCACTGTATAGGCACGCAATAGAGCAGATTTTGACCTGGGTTGAATACAGAGCTTTCACGACTGTCTAATTTGATTTTATCATACAGCCAAGAACAACATAGATGCATTAGAATTCACTAAATTTAAGAGCAGGTCATCGTTCGGGAAAGTCCAACCAAGTAACCAATCGTGCATCCGCCAATTACAGGCGCACAAGCCATTAGAATTCGATCAATATAGCAGCTAATTGTCACATCACACCGAAGCAACCATGTAAAGTCACTCGTCTCATATCTACGGTCTTAGCACAAATTTATGCAAGTAATATAAATTAGGCGATTCTACTAAGTGAAACCGCCAAGAGCCTATTTTTAACGCGTCCGCGACAACGTCCAACCAGGTGACCTAATTAATGGTCTAGCAATTCGTAAACGACAACGTACCCTAGTGACCTACTACCCTTCGATCGTGCATCTGCTGTATCCGGACACCGCAGATGTTAACAAATAATACAAACCATGTGTTCTGCGGCATACCTTTAACCGTTTCAAACTTATTCAGACCCCATAATTTGATTCCAGATCTGTTACCTGTAGGATGACTGGATGAAAAGTTTCGAATTTATTTGTTATCTGGAATGGCCATATTTTCTCCTCCTCGGTAGCTAATTATTGTGGGCGTTCAAGGTCAAAGATAAGAGATGCCTACTCGAATGCAGAGCATTAGGACTGCGACGTAATACTGAATAGTGATGACTGGTTATACTAATGATCATATGTAAACATTGCTTCATATAGAGAAATAATGGCACCAAAATATTTCTTATACCTAAGATCCTTCATCCTCCACTTTTACTCGAAAGATTCTGTTTAAATGTAATAATAATGGAGTGCACAAATAATCAAGACCACCATTGTCGATGGACTATCTTGTATTAACATTTTCAAATAATGGAATTACTTAGGGAAGAGCGGATCATATTACATCTTATTTTACTTACATGGGCAGCTTGAGCGAGACGAATTCCCGATCGAAGACCAGAATAAATCTGACCCATATGCAGAACTCCACAGATTCCCACCACCTCAAGAAGTCCATCATAATGAGTGGGCTTGACGAAAGTCTCGTCCTTTTCAAGGCCCCATGGGTTAGCTCCTCCGCCCCAAGATAGGATATTGAGTACCACAATACCTTCAAGCGGTGGTAAGTCCAACACCTTTCCATCTACTTCAACCACCACTTTCTTCTGTAGGTCCTTGCATGTCGACCGGTTTACCATCTTTCGAAGACCAATCTTAAAGTATACCGATTTGTTGTGTAGTCTATTAAAATTAATAACGAGGAGCTTGTAAGAGATTTGGGAGTTTAAATATTTATTCCCCAACACTTAAAGTAGTGAATTTCGATGGGATTTTATATGTTATCTCTTTGGGAAATTCGCCGCTTAGAGCTAACGAGGCACTGCGGCGTTAAATAATAGTGTAACTATATCACTAAAAAGAAACGACAAAGAAAAATTTAAGTACAAAGAAGAGACGACTTAATAATCTAATAGCGTTAAAACAATATAAGGCCTTGGTCAAATTCAAATTAAATAAATGTTAACTTCCATGAACTTGTTAGCCTCTTTGAATCGCATTACGCAGAAGAAGATAGTGAAGATGTCATAATTTTCTCAAGAAATCGCTGAATACAGACATATTCAGTCTTAAATTGAATAATGACTTGTCTGTGTCTTTATTGGCAAAAAATACCAACATAATTCAAGCAAAAAATTTTCATATTACTAAACCACACGAACGTAAAGCGATCAATTATCTAGTTCATGAGGAATGGTGAGATGGGCCTTCAATAAAAATGATATGCTAATATCTCTACCCACCCCTCCCCCCCCCACGTAGTGATTTCCACTTTTGTTTCAAACAAACATGTCTTCCTGTCGTTAACACATATGGAATACGAAGCTGGCTTAAAGGTCCAACTTAAACGCCCATTGCATAGCTTAATTTAGGATACTTCCAAAAAATGTTGGTGATTTAAATGAAATTATTCAAGCAACTGGCATGACTTCCTAAATACCTTCCAATGTTAAGGGTTTGTTTATTAATAAATTTCTTAAGAGAGAGTATGTGTCAGTGGATGTAATTGAAAGAACAAACCGGCTATTGAACTTGGAGGGGTTCTCCGATCGGGCATTGTGGAAATCCAGAGCAAGATCAGCGTCAATACCAATTCCAAAGTAGTTGTTCATGATGACCATGAAGGAATTGTCCTCTGTGGTATTTTGAGAGTTGGTTTGAATATGCAGAGCTGCTTTTACTTCATCTTTCATTTCCTCATCAGAACGACCTACCAATGTCCATCTAGAATAAAAGTACTAATCAATTGAAATTGCAACTAATAGAAATTGAAAGCATTGCCGATACTTGCTTACTGAAGCGATATCGCTCAAAATGGATCTATTAAACGAATGAATGAATGTCAGACGCCAGATGTCCCAAGTTATTTGTTTCAAACAGACCATAAGACTTCCTTGAATTTATTAAAAGCCATTTCATCGATAGATTCTCAAAAGCTCAGTTTTTGAGGTCTCTGAAGCATAGATTTGCAATCTTAGGGTCTGATACCTTTTAGAGCTTTTAAGTTGTGCCACTAGCATTGTATAAAAAGGTGAATAATGCTCAACAAGAATTAAAAATTAATCGATATATAAGCCAACCAGTCCACCCATTAATTATATCGTCAAGTAAAATCCATTTCTATAAACTTCTTGAAAAAAAACAGAGTGCAAACTCACCGATCAAGACGGACTTCTTCTGCGGCAGCAATATTTTTAAGGATTCGAAGCGGCGCTTCAGATGAGGTATAACCACCACCCCAGTGGAGAACTCGGGCAAGGTCATTGCCGGTACCGAGGGGAAGTAGAGCGATGGGTGGGGAGGGACAAGCTGCATCCTGTCCCACACTGTCGAGGCAGGAGAGGGTCCATCCTATCGTCCCATCTCCTCCGCATACCACCAATCGGTAAGATTTCACTTGGCGAAAACAGAACAGGCCTGGAAGTGGCCCACCAACGTCTAAATTAAATACCTGCAAGTCAAAAATTGTTACGCTAGAGGAAGCCGAGACCTATGTGGGTATGATTCGTACAAAAAAGATATGGAAAAGAGACCAAACACAATCTAAATTCATTACTTACAACAACTATCGATTTACCGCTACTATGAAGTAACTGGTTATCTTTCTCCTGCTATAACTTGCAAGAGATATAATTTTTATCCATTGATACAAAGTAACTGGCATGCCACGAGTTTCCTAAAAGGAGATGATGTTTTCATATGCCTCTCGCAATCACTCTTGATTTGACAGATTTCGGGATCTTGTTAGTGTGAAATGAGTAGTTTTAAGCTCATGTGGTAATTTTTCCCATCAAAGTACTTTATTTATACAATTTCCTAAAAGGTCTCAGACTTTTATGCTGTCGAAATAATCAAAGAAGACTTTGAAAATTCAATCCAAATGATCTCCATTTACCACTTTGCATATCATTAATGATTTGCACATTCTCTCCATCGCCTTGGCTCTTCTCCGTCTTTTTGTGTGGTGGAGATTGTAAGGAGATAGAATATTTAGCCGAATGAAATGAGGGCGATTTGTAAATTTTCCACAAATCTCTCCCATTTGTGATGCTCTAGAACAAACGGATATTTTTGGTTTTCATTGTTAGTAACTAAATAGGCCAATTAATTAAATTCGGTTTCGTTTTTCATCTACAATACCCCCCTCCCCTCCCTTTAATTGTTGGCCACAAAATTAGCGCTTTTTCCAGCAAGAGCAACATTTACAGTTTTAAGTTACAAACTACAGGACAAGGGACCAATAGGGACCTTTCCTGTGGTACTCAACTGCCAGTTCCAACGTACACATTCGAAGGAGTTATCGACTACGTCTGCTTTGGTAGGTGCTAGAAAGGGGTGTAGTCCAGAGTTTATTGATTGTGATTATTGACGAAGAACCAAACTTGATCAAAATCACCCAGTCAATTCAAAATAATTAACAAATTCACATAATATGTCAAATACTATGTTCAATTTGGGGTGTGCGATAGACTTACCTCCACGTGGTGCACCCTGGCCAACGTATATTCATACGACATAATAGCCAATAAACTGGCAGTTAACTTTTGACTTCAAACTACCATGACCCCACTGTATGTCATATTTGACCACTGCCACAGTACTCATCTTACCTCTTCTTTGCCTCTGTCTGTCTATCTGTCTATCTCTTTTACATCTGTGAATCATTATTCTGTCCCCCCTTTCCACTTTTGGTCACTTTGATGTTTCTCCTCCTCTCTGTGAAGTCCGAAGTCAGCTAAAGGACTAATGATAATTATCGAAACGCCTGCAATTTGAAATAAATAAATAAATGTTCGATTTACTTGAAAGGGATTGAGTAGGCACCGGAAAGCAGTCATGAGTTCGACACCCTGACAACCGCCAGATTTGATGTTGACAAAGACAAGGAGGGGTTGTACACCAGATGGAATGAATTGCGGTTGGATCTTTGGCAGAATGAGAACAACTAGT